CCACCACTCGGCTCTCCCCGTCATCATTCGGCCCTGTCCGTCAATCCTCCACACGGCACATATCCTCCCTCGGCTCTCCCCGTCAGCATTCGGCCCGTTCCGTCAATCCTCGACGCTGCACACGTCCTCCCTCGACCCTCTCCTCCACCACTCGGCTCTCCCCGTCACCATTCGGCCGGCTCCGTCAGTCCTCGACACTGCGCACGTCCTCCCTCGGCCCTCTCCGCCAGCTGTCGCTACTTTCCGACTTTCTGGGCTCTCGGCCTCGATCCAAGGATCTAGGGCCCCAACACCTGGAGACGGCGGGATCCGCTTGTATATGATGCGCCTCAGGAAGCCCCAGCATAGTCTCGGGGTTAGGCACTCGTGGTCGCGGTGCGGGTGTGCGGAGCTGGGAGGGAGGGTTAGAGGTCCTAAGGGGGTCAGGGTCAGGGGTTAGGGGTCAGAGGATCCGGGCTGGAGGCCTCGGGTGAGCTAGCTGAGTGTTAGAGCGTGAAGACTAGGACCCGGCTCAGGGTCGGGGTCGGATTTAGGGTCAGGATAGGGCGAAGCTGGGGTTCGGGGTTAAGGGTTGGGTTTAAGCAGGGGCCAGCAGCACCCTTCCCCGGGGAGGCTGCCCAGCCCTGCATCTCCGCCCGGGCTGACTTGGATTGGAGAGGGGCGGCGACCGCGAGCATCGTCGCCCCTCTGCTGGCAGAGCCCAGGACCCGGGTGGGCGTGCGAACAGCGGTCGTGTGGGACCCCGGGCAAGTCCCCTGCATCCCGAAGGGCTCCCATGGGCGTGGGGGAAGGCGGAGAGGCAATGAGGCTTAAACCCAGCCCTACCTTTCAGAAACTCGCTGTGGTGGAGGCCAGAGAGGGCGCTGCCTGTGTTCTCCTCGAGGATTCTGGTGGCTCCCTGCCGCACACGAGGTCTTTCATCCATTCTGAGTCTATCTTTGTGTGTGGTGTTAGAGAATGGTCGTTTCATTCTTCTGCATGGGGCTGTCCAGTTTTCCCAGCACCATTTATTGAAGAGAATCCATTTCTGGAGTCTCTACTCTGCTCCATTGAGCTATGTGTCTCTTTTTGTGCCAAGACCATGCTGTTTTGGTGATTACAGCTTTGTAATATCGCTTGAAATCAGGCACCGTGATGCCTCCAGCTTTGTTTTTCTTTTTCAACATTCCCTTGATGATTCGGGGTCCTTTGTGGTTCCATACAAATTTTAGGGTTGTTTGTTCCAGCTCTTTGGAAAATGTCATTGGTATTTTAATAGGGATGGCATTGAAGGTAGAGATTGCTCTGGGCAGCACAGACATTTTAACAATGTTTATTCTTCCGATCCATGAGCATGGAATGTTTTTCCATCTCTTTGTGTCTTCCTCCATTTCTTTCATAAGTGTTCTGTAGTTTTTAGACTATAGATCCTTTACCTCTTTGGTTTATTCCGAGGTATCTTATGGTTTTGGTGCTATTGTAAATGGAATAGATTCCTTAATTTCCCTTTCTATAGTTACATTGTTAGTGTATAGAAAAGCAACTGATTTCTGTGCATTGAGTTTGTATCCTGCCACATTACTGAATTGCTGTATGAGTTCTAGTAATTTGGGGGTGGAGTCTTCTGGGTTTTCCACATAAAGTATCATGTCATCTGCAAAGAGTGTTTGACGACTTCTTTGCCAATTTGAATGCCTTTTATTTCTTTTTCTTGTCTGATTGCTGAGGCTAGGACTTCTGGTACTATGTTGAACAATAGTGGAGAGTGGGCATCTCTGTCGTGTTCCTGACCCTAAGGGAAAAGCTCTCATTTTTTCCCCATTGAGGATGATATTTGCTGTGGGCTTTTCATAGATGGCTTTTAAGTTATTGAGGTATGTTCCCTCTATCCCTATATTTTCCAGAGTTTTTTTTTTTTTTTAAGATTTTATTTATTTATTTGACAGAGAGAGACACAGCGAGGGAGGGAACACAAGCAGGGGGAGTGGGAGAGAGAGAAGCAGGCTTCCTGCAGAGCAGGGAGCCCGATGTGGGGCTCGATCCCAGGACCTGAGCCGAAGGCAGACGCTTAACGACTGAGCCACCCAGGCACCCCTTCAAGAGTTTTAATCAGGAAAGGATGCTGTATGTTGTCAAATGCTTGTTCTGCATCAATTTAGAAGATCATATGGTTCTTTTCTTTTATTAATGTGCTCTATCATGTTGATTGATTTGTGAATTTTGAACCACCCTTGCGTCCCAGAAATAAATCCTACCTGGTAATGATCGATAATCCTTTTAATGTACTGTTGGATCCTATTGGCTAGGATCTTGTTGAGTATTTTGGCATCCATGTTCATCAGGGATTTTGGTCTGTAATTCTCCTTTTTGATGGGATATTTGTCTGGTTTGGGGATCAGGGTAATGCTGGCCTCATAGAATGAGTTTAGAAGTTTTCCTTCCATTTCTATTTTTGAAACAGTTTCAGTAGAATAGGTATTATTTCTTCTTTAAATGTTTGGTAGAATTCCCCTGGGAAGCCATCTGGCCCTGGACTCTTGTTTTTTGGGAGGTTTTTGATTACTGTTTCAATTTCATTACTGGTATTGGTCTATTCCAGTCTTGGTAGTTTATAAGTTTCCAGGAAGGCACCCATTTCTTCCACATTGCTTAATTTGTTGGCATATAGTTACTGGTAATAATTTCTAATAATTGTTTCTATTTCCTTGGTGTTAGTCATGATTTCTCCCCTTTCATTCATGATTTAATTAATTTGGGTCCTTTCTCTTTTCTTTTGGATAAGTCTGGCCAGTGGTTTATCGATCTTATTAATTCTTTCAGAGAACCAGCTTCTAGTTTCCTTGATCTGTTCTGTTTTTCTGGTTTCTCTTTCGTTGATTTCTGTTGTAATCTTTATTATTTCTCTTCTCCTGTTTGGTTTAGGTTTTGTTTGCTGTTCTTTCTCCAGCTTCTTTAGGTGTAAGGTTAGTTTGTGCATTTGGGATTTTTCTACTTTTTTGAGAGAGGCTGGATGGCTGTGTATTCCCCCCTGAGGACCGCCTTTGCAGTATCCCATAGGTTTTGGACTGATGTGTTTTCATTCTCATTGGTTTCCATGAATTGTTTAAGTTCTTCTTTAATTTCCTGGTTGACACAATCATTCTTTAACAGGGTGCTCTCTAACTTCCAGGTGTTTGAGTTCATTTCCAAATTTCTTCTTGTGGTTGAGCTCCAGTTTCACATCATTGTGGTCTGAAAATATGCAGGGAATAATCTCAATATTTTGGTATGGATTGAGACCTGATTTGTGACTCAGTATGTCATCTATTCTGGAGAAAGTTCCATGTTCACTCGAGAAGAATGAGTATTCTGTTGTTTTAGGGTGGAATGTTCTGTATATATCTACGAAGTCATCTGGTCCAATGTATCATTCAAAGCTCTTGTTTTCTTTGTTGATCTGCTTATGTCCATTGCTGAGAGTGGAGTGTTGAGGTCTCCTACTATAAATGTATTATTATTAGTTTTTTAAAAACTTTTATTTATTTATTTGACAGAGAGAGCACAGGCAGGGGGAGTGGCAGGCAGAGGAAGAGGGAGAAGCAGACTCTCCACAGAGCAGGGAGCCTGATGTGGGACTCGATCCCTCTACCTCTCTTACTACAGTCTTTGGTTTAAAATCTAATTTGTCTGATATGAGAATTGCTACCCCCACTTTCTTTTGAGGTCCTTTGGCATTATAAATGGTTCTCCATCCCCTCACTTTCTATCTGGAGGTGGCTTTAGGTTCAGAATGAGTCTCTTGTAGACAGCATATGGATGGGTCCTGTCTTTGTATCCAGTCTGCAACCCTGTGCCATTTCATGGGAGCATTTGGGCCATTCATGTTGAGGGTAACTATTGAAACATATGAATTTAGTGCCATTATATTGCCTGTACAGTCCCTGTTTCTATAGATTGTAAATTTCTGGTCTGTTACTCTTGGGGGTCTTTCTTCTTTTATAGAACCCCCCTTAATATTTTTTCAGGGCTGGCTTGGTGGTCACATATTCTTTCAGTTTCTGCTGGTCCTGGAAGCTCTTCTGAATGACAGCCTTGCTGGATAAAGTATTCTTGGCTGCATGTTCTTCTCATTTAGTACCCTGAATATGTCTTGCCAGCCCTTCCTGGCTTGCCAGGTCTCTGTGGACAGGTCTGACGTTATTCTGTTGTTCCTTCCTCTGTACGTAAGTAATCTTTTCCCCCTACTTGCTCTCAGGATAGCTTCCTTGGCTCTAAGATTTGCAAGTTTTACTATTATATGCCGGGCTATTGGTCTTTTTTTATTGATCTTGGGAGGGGTCCTCTCTGCCTCTTGGACACGAATGCTTGTTTCCTTCTCCAGATTAGGGAAGTTCCTGGCTATGATTTGCTCAAATATACCTTCTAGTCCTCTCTCTCTCTCCACCCCCTCAGGGATCCCAATAATTCTGACATTGGAATGTTTCATGGTGTCATTGATCTCTCTAAGTCTGATTTCATGGGCTTCTAGCTGTTTAACTCTATCCTTCTCAGCTTCTTTCCTTTCTATCAGCTTATCTTCTAGATCACTAATTCATTCTTCTGCATCCTTTACCCTGGCTGTTAAGAGTATCCAGTTAGACTGCATCTTATTCATAGCATTTTTAAGTTTGGCCTGATTAGATCTCATTTCTGTCCTCAGAGATTTTATGTTGTCACTAATGGTATTCTCAAGCCTAGCTATTGACTTCATAATTGCTACCCTGAAGTCTATCTCTGACATCTTGCTTATATCCATATCCATTAAGTCTGCAGGTGAGGCCATTGTCTCTGGTTCTTTGTTGGGAGTTCCTCCTCCTAGTCATTCTGTTGAGGATGGTTGAGGGAATGTACAGAGTCTAAAATATAAACCACGACCCAAGCAAGATGCACCCTAGGAAAATCCAGAGTGCTCGGAAGCCACCACCAAAAAGACAAAGCCAAAATGAAACACAAGAATAAATTTTATAAAATTTTAAAAATTTTAGAAAAAAAATAAAAATTTTTTTAAAAAGGCGGTGAGGGGATGGGGGGGCTATAATCTCTCAGTGTGGACAAAGTAGTGTGTTTCAGTTCTTACTGGGTGTATTTTGCTCTGTTTGTTAGAGGACACTACTTCCCAAATTTACAGGGAAAGTAAAACTGGTATATATATAAAGGTAATATTGAATAGGGAAAAAAGGACTACATTGAAGCGTATATCTATAAAAAAATATAGGTGTGAAAAAGTACAAGTTAAAAAGCTACTATGAAATATGATATATTAAACATCTAGTTGAAATGAGAAAAAGGTAAAAAGAGAAAACAGAAGAAGCATAAGAGAAAGAATAAAAAGAAAAAGAGAGTTGTGTCTGAAAAATA